AGAGAGAGAGAGAGAAGGGGGGAAGTATGGTGGCAAAGCTATCAGTGGCGTCAAACTTGGCTGTCGTTGTCTCTTCGCTGGGGTAACAAGTACTTGAAAGTACTAGTCCAAGGCCTTCGGCCGATACACGTACGAATCGTGCGGTGAGTGCGGACTGGATTGAGAGGAGTAACACCGTGATTGGCCTGTGATTATGCCGAACTGTGCCATTTTCGGCGCAGTATCCGGCAGTCTGCAAACTGAGTCACATGAAAATCGTGTACAATGTTTGCGTTTGGCCACGACTACTAGTACTACACACTTACACAGGAATCGTGCGGGGAGACACTCTGAGTCTGATTAGTCTGGGTCCAGACCATGGGCATAGGAAGGATTGCCAGGTGCTGATCACGGTCAAAGCCGATAGAAGGATGTTGTGTGGAAACGGCACTGGTAGTGACGGGAAAATAGTGTGCTTGGCCGGCGCACGCACGAATGGTATGGTGAGAGCGGACTGGATAAGAAGTGTACGGTGAGTCGTTGGCAGTTGTTCATCGCGGCGCTTTCAACAAGAGCTAGGTGCTAGGGACTCGAGCTGATTGTAGCGCGATAATGGTGTGCTTGGCCGGCGCACGGACGAATTTTATGGCGATAGCGGACTGGATAAGCAGGGTACGGTGATTGGCAGGTGTTCATCAGGACCTCGATCATACCTCTTCGGTAAGAGATGATGTAACGTGGAAATGGTGTGCCTGGCCGGCACACGAACGAATCTTAGGGTAAAAGCAGGCTGGATTACGAAGATTCGGTGATTGACCGAGGTTCATAGGGGCATTTTCAGTAAGAGCGAGGTGTTAGGGAACAGCGCTGGTAGTGGCGTAAAAATGGCGCGCTTGGCCGGCGCATGAACGAATCTTGGCATGCTTTGAGGGGATGGGAAAAATTAAACGGTGTGAGGTCGATGCTCGCAATACTTCGCCTCATCGACAAGGCTGCCGGATTGACTTCGACGCTCGTCTGGCTGAGCTGGACGTCGTGTGGTTTGAAGTCAGTAAGAGAGGCACGGAGACTGTGGGTTGTTGGCATTTCCAGGTATGACTTCTTGTATAGGGGAAAATCAAAGGCAACGGTGCGAAGCTAGAATGTGAAGGATTAGGCAGGACTGAGAGGCCTGATCAAAAGTCCAAAGCCCTCGAGGAATGCCGTCACATCTGCTGGGTGGAAAATGATGATGAAGAAAAAGAGAGGATATTGGGAAAATGTGGAATTGGTGTTCCTGACGCAAATTCTGTGTACTCGCCATGGAACTGTATGTGTGCTCCGACAGAAGCGTGATGTCCTACAAAGGCAAGTGGCCACGGCCAAAGCGGTTTTACGGAAAGGTGAGTGGTGACGGACAAAGCGGCGTTTACGGACGCTCGCTGAAGCACTAGTGCAGCGATCCGCTCGAAAGCAGAAGCAAGTAAGTCCTGTGTGTACCTTACACTCTCATTTGGCTGTAATATTTTTCTATGCGATACGCCTCTTCCATCCTTGAAGCAAGGAGGCGACGCGACCAACAAGCTCATAAGAAACACAACAGGCATGCACATGGGCCACGGTGCATGTATATCCCGACTCACCCTGCCGCTGTCGTTGACCCGAAATTCTTTAAAGGGGAAGTATACCCTAAAATCAAATTTTCACCAGTTGTAGTCTTCTGGGTGCTGAGTCGAATGGTCTTGGTCCGAGGAAGCTGCAACGCTCCCTTCCTACTTGAATCCCAATCGAACTCGCGCACTTCCACCGAAACTGGGTGACTGCGCCCTACTAGATGGGGATTTGTATGCAAAATGTCACTAAAAGCGCCATTTCGTTCTTATAAAAGCACGGATGACCGCGATTGGCCCATATGTTGTAGTCTTTTGGACGCTGAGTCGACTGGTTTTGGTCCGAAAAGGCTGCGATGCAGCGTTCCTCCTTTATTCCCAATCGAACATGCTTGAACAAGCGGTCACGTGCTCCTGGGTGCCCAAATCACCTCGTCACCGCGCCAGCAGGCGACAACTTTCACACCAAGGTTCAACTCGAGTTCAACTCGAGTGACAGGACTGCACCCAAAAAAGGTCAAACAGGCTAGTAAGTTGTACCCTGCAGGCACGGTGACCAGGTGACTGGTGTACGCAGGAGCACGTGACCGCTTGTTCAACCATGTTCGATTGGGAATAAAGGAGGAACGCTGCATCGCAGCCTTTTCGGACCAAAACCAGTCGACTCAGCGTCCAAAAGACTACAACATATGGGCCAATCGCGGTCATCCGTGCTTTTATAAGAACGAAATGGCGCTTTTAGTGACATTTTGCATACAAATCCCCATCTCGTAGGGCGCAGTCACCCAGTTTCGGTGGAAGTGCGCGAGTTCGATTGGGATTCAAGTAGGAAGGGAGCGCCTCAGCTTCCTCGGACCAAGACCATTCGACTCAGCACCCCGAAGACTACAACTGGTGAAAATTTGATTTTAGGGTATACTTCCCCTTTAAGTCCCAGATTTTTGCCAACTCCCTATAGTGTAAACGGGGAATGCAGGCCAGAAATCGCAACGAGCCTTCGTTGATGGAGATTTCGATGCGCAATGGGTAGTAGACGCGTCCTTGCATACCCTGGGAACATCGAAAAGCTTCTGGGATGTTTGAAAAAGCTTGGAGTGATTTTCGAAGGGTCGATAGATGATGCGGTGTGCAAGTAAGTGCAGTGCTACCTATGACTATGAGGGGTGAGTGTGGTGCGGCCAGGCTGCCAGCACGCACTCCGCACATGCGTAGATCTACCGTGACATGTACCGTAGATTGTATTTTGATGGCCTTGATCACTGTACAAACTGTGATCAGATCAGAAGGTATGCACACGGATTTCCTGTGTCCTGTGGTGACTCGGATGGCCGATGGGCAGGGTGGACTTCGATTTGGGCAATACGTTTTCGATGAGGTTTGGTTTGATCGGCATAAGGGTGGTGTTGGCGTGGGCAAAGGCGATTTCCGTGTGTGACGGCGAAGCAATTGGCTTCTCGACATTTCCGACCCAGGCACACGGAAACGGCGTCAATATGGAGATAGCGAGAAAGAGAGAGAGTATGTAGAGCTAACGTGACTGGAGACGGGATGGATGGGTTTTCGATGAGGCTTGATTTGATCGTTTTGGTGGCGCTGGCGTGCGGCGCAAGGCTCATCGCTATGTTTGACAGCGAAGGAGTTTGGGTCTCGACGGAAATTTGAAATTTGTGCGCACGGAAACGTCGTCATGTGGGCGCGGACGTGTCGGAGTGAGGTTGTCCAGTCCGGATTGTCGTAAGTTTGTTTGATGATTCCTGTGTTCCTGGTTGACTGGTTTTTTGTTGGGCATGTTGGGCATGTTTAATCAGTTGCCATGGTTCCAGGTGTTGGAAGCTGTTTGTTTACGCACCCTGTGCTATGTAAGCAGAAAGAAAAATAATTTAAAATGTTGTAGCACTCACGCTCTTCAAATAATACGCACTCACCATTTTGTGTGAGCGGACTAGGTTACGAAGATTCGGTAATTGACTGGTGTTAGTAGGCCTTCCATGAGAGCACCTTACGTTAGGGAACAGCGCTAGTAGTAGTGGCGTAAAAATGGTGCGCTTGTCCGCCCCACAGACGAATCTCGGCATGCTTTGAGCTGAGGGATCAAAAAAAATCAAACTGTGAAGTCAACACTATCAGTTCTTTGCTTTTTGACAAGGCGAGTTCAGCCGGATTGACTTCGACGCTCGTCTGGCTTGGCTGGAGGACGTTTGATTTGAAGTCGGTAAGAGAGGCACGGAGACTGTTGGTTGTTGGCATTTCCAGGTATGACTTGTTGTATGAGTGGAAAATCAAAGGCAACGGTGCGAAGCTAGAATGTGAAGGATTTGGTAGGATTGGGAGGCCTGAACAAAAGTCGAAAAGCCCTCAAGGAATGCCGTCACATCTGCTGGGTGGAAAATGTTGATGAAGAAGAACGGAGGACAGTGGGAAATGTGGATTTGAGGTTCCTGACGCAACTCTATGTGCTCGCCATGGAGCTGGATGTGTGCTGCGACAGAAGCGTGATGTCCTACAAGGGCAAGCAGTCACGGACAAAGCGGTGGTCACGGACGCTCCCTGAAGTAGTAATGCAGTGATCCGCTAGAAAGCAGAAGCAAGTAAGTCCTGTGTGTACCTGTGTGTACCTGTCCTTACACTCTCATTTGGCTGTGATTTTTTCTATGCGATGCGCCTCTTGCATTCTTGAAGCAAGGAGGCGATCGCGACCAACAAGCTCACAAGAAACACAAGAGGCACCTTGGCTACGGCCGGACAAGGCGACGAGAGCCTGGATCCCCTAAGAAAAGTCATAGTCGGCATGCAGGCACCATCATATTAACAGTGCTGGATGGACGGGGAGAGAGATCGATTTTCATGATGTACTTTTCTGCTGCATGTTATTATGGACTAAATCATAATGGGCAGCAGCTGTTGTGTTTTTTCGTGACTCGTGACATGCTTACGAGTCGCGAACCAACTGACATGAGAGACTCTTCATTAAAAGCAAGCCATATCTTCATCTGGAAATTGTTTTCTCAACAAGATAAAAATCAATGAGGAAAAAAGCCGCTGCATCAACATGCAACTGCACCTCAAGAACATACATAAAGATGGCCACCAACCCACGTCGTTCATCGGCATGGAAAGATGCAAATTGAAAAGAAACTAGTGTAGCGACAGAACTTTGAAGAAAGAAAACGGGCGAAGAAGAAGAAGAAGAAACAGCAAGGAGAGCGGATCGTTGCGATCGCCAAGTCACAGAGACAAGTGCACTAGTATCATGGCGCCTTCGCTATCATGTTATTGGGCAACGATCCCGTTTGACTTTAAGTAAAATAAAGAATACGTACATACGTACTATAGTTCGTGTCCAAGTGCCTAGTGAATCGCGCATGCTGTCACTTGCTGCTGTGTACACATGCAAGTTCTACATCATACATAACAAAAGGAAAGGAAGCAAAGTCATAATCAGGGAGCCCTATGAGTGCACCCCCTGGCCATAATGCATGCAAGTGCGTGCCACGCGTGCACGCTTTCTACATTGTAAAAATGTAAAGCCCGAAAATGTACTGGTGCACAATAAAGAATTGCACTGCAGAGGCTCCGCTTCATGTAATGCTGTAGTGGCCCCTTCGTTTTCTTTGCAAACCCGCTAGAAACACAAGATTTCTTTAACGCCAAACACCATAGCAACCACTGCCCTGGATAACCCCTGTGCCACTGCCTGCCTCCATTGGCCTTGTTTGAGCTGCAAGTAAAAGTGGTTTGCAAGTTCTTTTTTCTCTCTACGTAGGTGACGTAGACCTGTCTTTTCCTTTTGTGATTCGATTCCCCTTAGATTAGCTTTCACGACGATGGATCCCTCGGATTTCATTTCATTGTTGGCTCACCCTGAGGTGCATTTGGCTTTACAAGCTCCATTTGCCCCCACCGGCGGGATACTTACAAGCTCCATTCGCCCCCACCGGTGGGATACAAAATGGTCCCTCCGCGCTAACCAGCGGAGTACAAGTCGGTCCCTCCGCCCCTACCATTTGAATACAAACTGGTCCATCCGTCTCCGCCAGCGGCATACAAAATGGTCCACCCGCTCACTCCGGCGGTATACAAACAGGTCATTCCGCCACTGCCGGTGGCTCACAGAATGGTACACCGCAGACACAACCTCGAAGACACTCCAGGGTAGAATTTGCCACTGAGAGCCTCCGGGCCTCAGGTGACGAATCTGTGGGCTACGATGGCCATGCACGTTTTGCAAGGGACAAATCCCCCGGTTTGCATGTCCTTGTCTCGGATAATAAGTTCGGCCACTGTCGTTCCCGTTCTCAATTGCCATTTTCGCATTGAGAACATCGTCGGGGACTGGCAAGGGTCAGGTCGCGAGCTGTCAGTCTGCGCGTGCGCCCTCACCCGGATTTCCGCATATGGCCCCGCTTGCAGAGCTTGGGGTGTCGTTCCCGATCGCCCACAGCTTCACCACTACAGTGTTACATTTCGCTTCACCTCCTTATGCAATTAGGGTTATGCATCAAAACCTATGGTTTCTTGTATAATCCACAGTTATTTGTTTGAGAAGAAGAAATGCACAGCAGCAGAAAATGAAGAATCAGTTTGAAGCTAGAATGTCCGTGTGTCTTAGTATGGAGTGGTCTTTCATGAACTGAAAGCTAGAGAGACATATTACAGTACATGTAGTCGCCGGGTAACTATCTCTTACGCAAGACTGGAATCATACAGATACCAAGTAAGACGTGTTATAAGAATACAATTTTCATGTTGTGCACATATTTATTGATATTTCAAAATCAAATTGGTATGCAACATCGCGACGTTCGCGACATGCTTGGACTACGTAGTGTTGTCGGACACATGACTAACCTGTGTTGACCTTTGTAAAATAGGCTGTCTTATGTGAATGTGTGTGTGTGTTTGTGTGTGTATGTGTGTGTGTGTGTGTGTGTATGTGTGTGTCGGTCGATTTCCAATCAAGAGGTTGCAGGTTCAATTCTCAACGAGTATGGTCTGGTGCGATGTTCAACGTCGAACGGCGCGAGTCCTAAGGCACGGTACGTGACGGGGTGACTTTCGGACCTAATTGCTTGTTTTTGGGTCTTATTTTCAATCATTTCTCCTTGAACGAAGCGGAATCAAGTTAACAATCCCAGTTTTCATGAAGACCCAAAAGTAGCCCTGGAAGTTGTGCCATATAATACCGTATTTTACCAGTTATAAGTCCACCGTTTACGACTAAAAATCGAAGGATAAAATGTGGGGGTCAACTTTCAACCGGGAGTTGACTCACAGTTGCGCTCGGTGAAATCCGGCCCGAAGTGCAAAGCCGGCGCCGCGAAGCCAGCTCCCATTACATCACTGGCAATTTGTGTGTATGAACTCAACTGTACGCACCTCGTGTAAAAGTTCGGAGTGAACGTGTTGCATGCTAAAAACAGTTCAAAATTTCTTCCATTCACTTCACGAAGTACAGCTCAAGATCAAGAAGAGATAGAGAAGAAGGACATGGCCATTCCCAATGTGTGGGCTCTTCTCAAGAAGAGAATAATTCCACATTGCTGCGAGAATGCTGACCAGCTGGTGCAGGCACTGCACCTGGAGTGGGACTCGTTGGCTCCTGACACCGTTTCCCCATACGTGGAGTCAATGCCACGTCGTGTTGAAGCCCTAATCGAAGCAGACGGTGGCCACACAACATATTGAAGCCCTGCTGCTCTGTGGTTGAAATAAACTGCCTCGAAACGATCTCCGTCTTCTTTACTTGTGCTGAACTGAAATGAATGTTACACTTGTCTTTGTTTGGCGCGGTTTTTTACACTTTGGTGTAAGCATGCATGCGTATGAGTACAGCACATGCACAGTTCATACGGCACACGTGCACACTAGCACTTGTACAACTTTGAGGGCGTCAAGGGCTGCATCAGTACTGGGCGCCAGTTATGCACTTCGGGCCGGATTTCACCGAGCGCAACTGTATAACCGGGAACTACCGGTATCCTCGGTATAACGGGTAACCTCGGTATAACGGGTATCCTCAGTATAACGGGTATCCTCCAAAAATGACCTGCACCGCATGTACTAGTGCAGCATGTGTACGCATTGTTGCCAGTTCATTTGCCTTTTTCCAGGGTTTGGACATTTCACCCTCCAATCAGGTTTCATGTTTGTATGATCTTTGTTGATTTGTTAGTAGCAGGGAGTGGTAACCTGATTAGCAGTGCTTGGCTGGGTAATAGCCCCAGGAGACAATAAAACAGTTTGTCTGTCACACTCCTGAACTATCCGTAAATACTGTAAGGGACCTGATATCTTATCTTGCTAAAATTCAACTCAAGTCATGTTAGCTATTCTGTGAGTTATCTTGGGAAACGTGGTTTTCGAAATGCTCAAAATTTCCAAGTACGAATCGGGAGTAGTCGGCGCACGACGCCGTCTCCTATTCACACTCAAAATGCAGCTGTTTTGTACCCTCGCATCCCCGTCTACGCCCGTCTATGGTATGAAAGTTGAACTGATCCAACTTTTCCCGTTGCTTCCCAATCCACGCAGTAGTACGATTGCGTTCCCATTCCTAGTGTTCACATTGGACGCCGTCAGACCGTCCCGTCGCCTCCCGTCGATCCTTACGCCGCCGCGTCCCGTCGAATATGAACTAGGCTTTGGACGTCACGAGACTGTTCTGATCAGCGCCCGGCATCCGCAGCTCTAGAGTTTAGGCCAAGATCACTCTCCTCTACTGTCACACCTGAGTAGAAAGTGGATCAATACAATGATCTATGAAAATCATGCTTCTGAACGTTGAGAAAACAGTAGTTGAGTGTGTCCTCTCTTTTTAGCATTGAGTCCGAGCTTGACCTGTACTGTCATCTCTCTGCATAGCAACTGTGTGTATACTGTACCGTAAAAGCTCGTAATGCGGCCCTGGGCGGAAACATTAGTGAAGGTCAAGAATATGGGCATGAATTTGGGCCGGGGTGCTATTTCAGATAAGTGAAATCAAACTAATTTTCACATGCCGTGGTACGTATAAGGTTAGCACAGTACGCTGTACACTCTAGCTTTACTACAGTGCCGCCATACATACATGTGGAGCTGTGCATGCACTGCATTGTATGTACTGGAGCTGTGCATGCACTGCATTGCATGTACTGGAGCTGTGCTGTCGTCGCCCATGGGTGTATACAAGTACGACCGTGGGTGTATACAAGTACGACCGTGGGTGTATACAAGTACGACCGTGGGTGTATACAAGTACGACCGTGGGTGTATACAAGTACGACCGTGGGTGTATACAAGTACGACCGTGGGTGTATACAAGTACGACCGTGGGCTAGAATATGGGACAAGAGTGGTGACACGCGGCAACTGGGCGTTATACTGGGTGGGCGCATTTACATGCTTTTACGGTATACAGAGACCGGTCTTTCAAAGGCTGTTCTGATCGTCTGATCGTATCTGGATTTGTTTTTCTTGTGTGTTGTTTGTTGTTTCTGCAGGAGAAAGGGGTGCAGCCATGAGCAAGCCGGAGAAGAAAATTCACGCGCAGAAAATGTGAGTTAACTTTCGTATGCTGTACCCCATTAGATGGCAAACATGGATTTGTGAGTCTCTGAGTATCACATGGTGCCCATAGGTTGCATGTGACCCAGCTCAAAATCTGTATCTTGTATCATACGTATCTAATATTGACTGAGTACGAGGTCAATATAGGAAATAAAAGCCGAGTAAAAGACCGAGGCGAAGCCGAGGTCTTTTACGAGGTTTTTATTTCCTATACTGACCAAGTACGAAGTCAATATTAGATTTATCACGACAAACAGTCCGTATTTCAAATTCCAGAACGATAACCTCATGAATCCCGGTTTTATGATTGCACAACCGTTGCACCACCACCTACTCATGCAGTGACAATGCTACACTAGGCACCGTTCAACTGCGCAAACCCTAAGCAGTCAAATATAAGCAGTCAATATAGCCATAAGGAGTGAAATATGCAGGAATATTTGACTGCTTAGGTATGGCAAAAATCTATGTGAGTCAATACTGAGGGAGTGATAAAGTAGAATATTGATAATTCGAATATGGCGTAATTTGAAGGCCCTGCTTATTTCGAACATTTTCCATGCACCGATTTCCACCTGTACAACATCCATGCAAGTGAGTTACATAACTCAAAGTACATTTTAGTCGAACAGCAGTTCTCATACTTATTTTGAAAGTGCTTCTTGAGCATGGATTACACCTTTTACACGGCAACTATGACCGATTCTTTCAAAGTTAATGACAATCATTCTAATTCGAACCAGCCAGCACGGTACTTGTACCGTACATTTTATGTGGCTTAAATCAGCTCTCGTGAGTCAAAGTTGCTGTTGGCACGAATCTGCAACCCTGCGATCAATCCTCTCTTGGGCACTGGCTTGTTGCTCTCACGGACTGTCAAGCGAATCGTCTTCAGATTGAAAGGAAGTTAGGATTTCTGGCGTTACGCACAGGCATCAGACGAATACCGGTTATTACTAGAGCGGGTAGCAATACCCACATGAGTTCAGAACTGCCTGTGGCGCTCAAGAAGTGAAAGAGAACGTTTCGAACATCAATCCACTCAGCGGCGTAATCCTCAAAATGCGAACGAAACAAATCATGACTTGAGCTTGGTGGGAAAGAAAATGTTTTGCACGTCGATTTGTTCTATTTGCGCATCACTAGCACTAGATATGAAAGTTCGCAATGCAAATATTTAATCAACACTTCATGTATCGATCTGTACCTTGTTCACCTGTGTTTTGTTTTGGGAGTCATGCTCAATATGCAATGAAGACAATAAAATGTCATTGCTTGATGTTCAGTGTGCTCAGAGCTGTAATTCGACTAGTACATATTGGGTTCAACATTACAGTATTGGGTAATTAGATGTTATGGTTACTCACCAGAAAATCGAGGTTTGAATTATCAGTATTATACTTTATCACTCTCGTAGTATTGACACCCATTGATGATCGCTATACCTAAGCAGTCAAATATTCTCGGATAGAGAGCCAAGGATTAATGTATAGAAGAAAAAGGACCAAGGAACTACAAGTTACGCTATAATGTCCACTAACACCACCAGTTACTAAACAATCAGCTCATGTGATAACATTGCACGACACTGACTGACGGTACTGACGTTCTACAACTAACTGGTCGTTCCTTGGTCCTTTTTGTCTTCTTTTATAAGTCAAATATTCCTGCATATTTCATTCCTTATTGCTATATTGACTGCTTATGGGTTGTGCAGTTGAACGGTGCCTACAATGCATGGTTACTGTACTTTGGCGGGTGGTTGGGCAACAATGGCACTAACAATGGCACTAACAATGGCACTAACAATGGCACTATGCGAGCAGTATGCACTAGCCCATACATCATCGGGTCTTATCACTCTCTTAGTATTGACTCCCATTGATTTTCGCTATGCCTAAGCAGTCATAATATTCCTGCATACTTCACTCCTTAGGACTGTATTGACTGCTTACATTTGACTGCTTAGGGGTTGCGCAGTTAGACGGTGCTGCCTAGTGCAGCATGGTCACTGTATGAGTAGGTGGTGGTGCAACGGTTGTGCTATCATAAAACCGGGATTCATGAGGTTATCGTTCTGGAATTTGAAATATGGACTGTTTGACCGTGTTTGTCGTGATAAATCTAATATCAACTTCGTACTTGGTCTATAGGAAATAATAAAAAACTCGTAAAAGACCTCGGCTTATATTTCCTATATTGACCTCGTACTCAGTCAATATTAGATACTTATGAGTAGGTGATGATGCAAAGGTTGTGCAACCTCAAAACCGGGATTCACGAGGTTCTAGAATTTGAAATAATGGCTGTTTATCGTGATAAATATAATATTGACTTCGTACTTGGTCAGTATAGGAAATAAAAGCCGAGTAAAAGACCGGGGCGAAGCCGAGGTCTTTTACGAGGTTTTATTTCCTATACTAGTATTGACCTCGTACTAAGTCAATATTAGGGAGATTTAATCCCACGCGTCAGGCGAAATAGCACGTCATAGTACATTCGAGATCAGCGAGAAGAAGATGACGACGTCCACTAATTTAGTATCTGTGCACACGAATCTGCTGTGTGTGTTACTCTGTGTGTCAGCTATGGCATCATCGCCTGTGGTTCCATGCCTAGCATGTACGTCTGAACCATCCCGCAAAGTTTGAATGACGTAGGTTGAGCGATCGCTCCGCGAAACATACTTTTTGAAATTCTCTTCATAGTATATCTTCCACCATTGAAATTTCGAATTTCTTCGAATTATTTGCTGAGAGGGGTGGCTTGCAACCTCGATATGGCTTGTTCCAGGCATGCTTTGGAGCCATCGCCGGTTGAAACAGTGGCGGGAAGCTGCCCTGCAACTGTTCCAACAGGAAATTAATCGATCCGAGAAAGCGCGAGTTCGCGAATCTCGGTTGAATATTGAGTATTTCAAGCCTTTTCACGACGAAGATGGAGTTCTTTTTGGAGATGGACGTCGCGGCAAAGGACATGGTGTCCGACTTCTGGCGTCTGGTGAAGCCAGGGATCATTTGTCCAGTCAGGTCGGCAGCCTAACCGTCGGGAAGCTTGTGTTTGGATCCCGTTCTGCTCGATGTGGTAGATCACAAACAATTTGATATCGCACAAATTGATCTCAGCATCGTGCATACGGTATTTTATATTCAGAAAATCCCAAAGTGTCTCTGTGTGGCCATCCTATGCCACGAGAAACTCCAATCAGGCTCCTACAGTCCATTTCAAAACTATAGACGCGTACCTAGGCAAAAACCGTTATGCCAGCATCTATACCACATAAAATCTGTGATCACTTTGTGCATAAATTTTTCCAAATTGGGCGTCTGTTATCCAATCGTTTAGAAACTATATGAAAGTAATTGTGGAGCGATCCTGAGCAATATTCCGAAAAATATTCTCAAAAAGTTCCAGCCAAATTTGAAATATTTCAAAAACCCTACGCGTCTATAGTTTTGAAATGGACTGTAAGTCCTCTGCCTTCATGATTGAATGTCCACTTCGTTTGAACAACGAACACAACAACCGAGGACGGCTTTGCAATGAAAAATACAGCTATACTGGAGCTGAAAAAAGAAGAAAAAAACGTGCTCAGGATGAGACTCGAGTACATGCATACTCTCGAAGCAGGTGAAACGCAAATTTTTGTGAAAAATGCATGTCGCCGACTGACCAGTAATTTCGCCTGACGTAATCCGTGTGTACTTTACGTGTGTGTACCACATGATACTCAGTGACCCACGTACAGCCGTTTTCTGATTCACGACATACCGTGTATGGAGGCTCACCCACGTTCCACCAGAACGTGGGTGAAAATCAGAATGGAGCGCATTGAGGGTGCTCAGCTGAAGAAGTTCCCGAAGCACGAAATCAAAATATCCGATGAGCTTCGAAGCTTCGTCTTTGACCAAGTTTGGGCCTTTCGCTTCATGCTTTGATTTGTTCCGTGTGACTAAAACATAATTGCGAACGTGGGTCCATTGTATCACCCACCGTGGTTCCCGTATCCGTTACGTGGGACTAAACCTCCCTATTAGATACATACTGATGTAATTGTATTCCCTTTTCAACTCCCTCAACTGATGAATAGTTGCAATGAGTATTGCAACTTCTAACCAGTGAAAAATTCTGAACCTTGAGAAAACGGTAGTTGAGTGTTTCCTTGCTCACAGCCTTGAGTCCGAGTTCGACATGTGCTATATCATCTCTATGCATAGCAACTGTGTGCATAGCAACTGTGTGCATAGCAACTGTGTGCATAGCAACTGTGTGCATAGCAACTGTGTGCATAGCAACTGTGTGCGAACTGTATACAGAGACAGGGGTCTTTCACTGTTAGCTGGCTATATCATCTCTATGCATAGCAACTGTGTGCGAACTGTATACAGAGCTAGGGGTCTTTCACTGTTAGCTGGCTATATCATCTCTATGCATAGCAACTGTGTGCGAACTGTATACAGAGCTAGGGGTCTTTCACTGTTAGCTGGCTATATCATCTCTATGCATAGCAACTGTGTGCGAACTGTATACAGAGCTAGGGGTCTTTCACTGTTAGCTGGCTATATCATCTCTATGCATAGCAACTGTGTGCGAACTGTATACAGAGCTAGGGGTCTTTCACTGTTAGCTGGCTATATCATCTCTATGCATAGCAACTGTGTGCGAACTGTATACAGAGCTAGGGGTCTTTCACTGTTAGCTGGCTATATCATCTCTATGCATAGCAACTGTGTGCGAACTGTATACAGAGCTAGGGGTCTTTCACTGTTAGCTGGATTTGTTCTTCTTATGTGTTGTTTGTTGGTTACAGGTGTTTCAAAAGTTGTTCTGGTCTTAGCTGGATTTGTTCTTCATGTTGTGTTGTTTGTTGGTTTCAGCAGGAGGAAGGGGTGCAGCCATGAGCAAAATTGTGGCTGAACTCTTGTTGTTTCTGCATGAAGGAGAACTCTTGTTTCTGCATGAAGAAGGAGAACTCTTGTTGTTTCTACATGAAGAAGGAGAACTCTTGTTGTTTCTGCATGAAGAAGCAGAACTCTTGTTGTTTCTGCATGAAGAAGGAGAACTCTTGTTGTTTCTGCATGAAGGAGAAAGAAGCTGAAAAAAAAGCTGGAAAAAAAGCCATCCCAAACCCCGACCACCACCCCTCCTGGAATTATTACTTTTATAGCCTGTCCTGGCCCTCAACTTCACACCTGAGATGATCGGTTAACTGGCCTCAGCCAATCAGAGTTCAGCAAGTGTTCATCTTCTTGGCTTGTGCGGAAAATGAAGGAGAAAGAAGCCGAAAAAAGCCATCCCAAACCCCGACCACCATCCCCTCCTGGAATGATTACTTTTATAGCCTGTCCTGGCTCTGAACTTCACACCTGAGATGATTGGTCAAACGGCATCAGCCAATCAGAGTTCAGCAAGTGCATTCTTCTTGGCTGGCTGATAGCTGAACTCTTGCTGTATTCTGCATGAGGAAGGAGAAACAAGCTGCCATCAGCAAATCCGAG